TTTCCAACCAGTCCAAGCCCTTGAATGTCCTGGTATGGCCGAGAGTGGGGTGGGCTCGCCCTCTCGAAATGCTCTCACACGGCCACGCGTATACAGCCTCTGCTAGGGAAGTCCTACTCACTGCCTTCTCGTGGCAGAGGTGTTGTTTACGAAAATGAGAGGACGAAAAGCGAATGTCCGGCACTTTAACCGGATCACAAACCAATGGTGCACATGGGATCCAGTATCCTGCGGGAACAAATGGCGTATGAACCAATTTGTTGGTCACCGGCTAACATGGGACTTCATCTCCTCATGATGCTCCACCTCCTTGTGGGTCAGACCTTTAGGTCAAAGGCTCGGGGTGTGGCCCCCTAAGATAACCACCTGCTTCGGTTTGGGCACCCGGGTAGTATCACAGCCCACACAAAAATATGATGAAATATCGATATTGATGGAAAATACTTGTCTTCTTTCGATCATCAAACGATTCACATTATTATTATTTACGTCATTGATTCACTCTCTGTTATTCTCATTTTATGTATCCTTATTTTTCGACTTATACAGCAGCTCGCCTATGATGAAAACTCGGTCCTGTCTAAACGTTCTCGAGTCAATGCCTGGTTGGAAATTGTATGTACCACCAAATACGAATATTGAGGCAGTTTTTCTGAAACCACGTGCACCATTCAAACTTGTATTCACTGTTTGGAAATACAGACTATCTTATTTAATTGTGCTGAAATGGATATATTATCCTGATAAGTTATTTATTGAAGATGTTTTTTTTAGGAAAATCGAAAACATGAGGACTATTTTAAAGTAGTAGTAAATGATTGCCCTCGAGTGTGTATGAAGAAATGTTTAATACAAAGGAAAATAAAGAAAAAAACTGTCGAAAAATCCTATGCAAAGTGACCAATGAACCTCAGTAATTTCATTTTATATGTAATAACTAGTCAGTAAATTACCATCACACCGTCACGATATTTATGATCTAAATCAAACTGCTTATGTAGTATGGAAGATTACAAGAAACAATCTGGTACGATTGTTTTCTGATGTGCATACTTGGGTGCTAACGCAAGTCGAACCAGTGCCAGGATACACCAACCTTATTGGTATGTGCCAATCAGCCAGTTATTTTGTCTACTTCATAAAATTTCTACACATATTGTCGATCGCTCGCTATGAGTGAGTACCACTGCTTCTCAATGTGTAGATGACTGTAAGCGAATGCATTAATTGATTGTGTTTTAAGAGACTGATAACATATTATCATAACTTAATCAGTTATGTTATAAAATTTGCGGTCCATTTATTTTATGACAGCTGAAAAAACATCGCTTGACTTCTTAATGAATAAATTATTCCACAACATTAATTGTGACAACAGTTCAAAAGTGGGTTAGAAACAATCAATTACATAATGAATAAATATTGATAGGAATATAGTGATGTTGCCATAAAACGCAGGCGAGACGGGACAGTCCAACGATCAGTTTATAGAAAAAGTAATTGGAATGGCCTCTACCTGAATTTCAATAGTTTTTGTCCAATTAGTTACAAGAAGGCGTTGGTTAAAACACTATTTTACAGGGCAGAAAAGATATGTACCACCGACAAACTGGAAGAAGAATTAATGAACGTAGAAAAATGTCTAAAAGAAAACTTTTATCCACAAAAGTTTATTGACAAATATAAAAGGCCCAAAAGAAAAGAACACGGTAATAACTATGGTCAATAAAAAACCAGTATATATAAATCTTAACTTTAAAGGTGATGACTTAACTTATCCGGCTGCTAAACTTTTAATTCTCTATAAAACAACATGTTCAATAACCCAATCAAAGATCGATAAGCAACCCTTTCAGGTTACCACCAACTGTATTTATAAATTTACGTGTACCTGCCAAAGCAGCTACATCGGCCGAACTGAAAGGAGAGAATATCTTAGATTCTTTGAACATGTTCCAAAAAGTCTTAGAACAAGGGAAAGGAAGACTCTGAACAGTGCAATCACCAAACATCTCCTTGATACAGGATATCAGGTAGATACCTTGCAATCCTTTAGGGTGATTAGTAAGCAGCCAAACTCCAGTCTTCTGAAGTTTGCTGAAGCCATTGCCATCAGGCGTCAAAAACCTGACCTATGTATTCAAAAGGAGACGGTGGTTAATATTTCCTTGCCCTGGTGACAAATATCCCTTCACTGCACCATAAAATTTTATTTTTGTTTTTTCCCTTTTGCATTTATTACATCATTGACTCTATTTTATTTTATTTTTCAACTATCTTTCGAATTAATAATCTTTCAACTGAACTCTACTCACTATATTCCTATCAATATTTATTCATTATGTAATTGATTGTTTCTAACCCACTTTTGAACTGTTGTCACAATTAATGTTGTAGAATATTCTTTCACATTAGGTATATATTTACAATATTCAGTTAGCAATTTAAACCCATATGTAATTATGATTTTTAAATATCACAGGTTGTAAGCAGCTGATGAGAACCTACGAAATAAAATGAATTCATGCTATTCTGCTAGAATCTTTGTTCTTGCTCTTTTCAAAATGATAAAGGGAACTGTGTGTATGAAAAATCCCAAATTTGTGGGTTTATATTGAACATTTTCATATTGTATAATTACTGAGTAACTGGATTGCTATGTTTATATATTCCATTATGAGCTTTTAGTTGATACACTAACTACTGTTATACGACTTGCAAGTCCTAAAATGTTGCCAGTCTTTCACTTACAACTTCTATTCACAGCCTTTTTTGGCTAGTTTATGTATAATTGTTATGCTTCATTTTACGATGTGAAGTAGTCCAGTATGCCTACATACCAACCACGTCTGTCTAAAATATAAGTATGGTAGGGGCTGGTTGCCGACTTTTAGATTTAAATCAGGGTATAGAGAAAAACTTAAGTATAACGAGCCAATAGGAACCCAACTTAGTCGGTTCTTGTTATAACCGTTCGTTTGAATGCTTATTGTCTTGGCTCTTTTAATGCTACATTTTGTATTTGGTCGTCGCTGATTGCTATGTCGGAAACGCTTATCACTTATACTCGGAACGAGGGACCTCTGCAATTCCCACGACGCGAAAGTAAGAACACAAAGACTAGTATAAGTGACGATTTATTAACCCCAAAACACGTCGACGACGACAACAACGACTCTAGTAGAAAATAAACTCATTTATATATTGATTGTACCCCTATTTTGATTCATGATTAGGATGAAATCACATATATGCAAAATACTTAGAGTTATAACAAATCACATACTGAGCATAGTTCATATCAAAGGAATACAGAATAAAATATCATACGACAAAAGAAGAACAAATACCACATTCAGTAATCATTACCTTGAATCAAAACGGAAGTAATCTTGAACAAAACTCATAATGAGTAAATCAATCGAAAACTAACTTTTCTTTCCATCATATAGGTTGTGAATCAACATTCCTGGCCAGGAGTGTCACTGGTCAAACCTAGGGCGCTAGACCATAGAATAGCGAACGTCAAACAGACAAAATTAGCATTAAGATTCTGATTGGTGACTTGACATGTGATATTAGTCAGTCGATTCAATACACGATATGTCCGAGGTGCAATTCACGAGGTTAATTAAGTTAGTTCCCAGCACAATGTACAAAATAATTTTTAGACTAAATAACACCTAATTATAACTTGATTACATATTTCCTTTAAACTATGAGTCTTTCAAATGATTTCATCCGAGCAGAGTCCTAACTCTATAATATAGTATGGGATACCTATATGTTATTCTTTTTGTAAGACTTAACATCAATATCAGAAAAACCATTAAGAAACGCATATTGTAATAATATTTTACTAAGAAAAGAAAATCTGTTCGTATCAATAAATGGAACTAGCTGGTGTAGCCAACACCCAAAATAAGTTTAGATTCGGTATTTCTCCCGACGAACATTCGTGCTCATGTTGAAATTCAGAGATAACATGTTGACAGCTGAAATAATACTTTAATATTTTTGGTGTTACTAGATGGAAATCTTTAAATACATCATTATTTTATACACTAACAAATGGATGTACATAGTAGCTTGTTTCTATGGTATGTTGAAACTGTATGTGCATCGTGTTCTTGATACCTACAAATTGCAACCATCATTACTCACCATTCCACAAACGGTATCATACAATGAACCAATAACTTTTTAAATTTGCTTTTTAGTGTGATAATGTATGTATGTAAATCCTAGTATGGAGTACCAAAGGGTATGAATCCATGACCTCATGAAGGATCGAGGTGAATAGTTAATCATTAGACCACTAAAGTAGCATCCAGTGGTATACATTTCCAGCTTTATTCAACTCGAGATCCTAATAATTGTTAATGACTTAAAACCCTCTCAAACATAACTATATATAATTATTTTGAGTTCTCGTTTTTTTTTATTTTAACTGAAAATTTGACTGCCAGAATATGAGCAAATCCATCTAAGATGCCATTTATAAATAGCAGAAAAAATTAAAGATTTGAGGTCTTTTTAACTCAAAAATGCTGAAATGTAAATAAACTTATGCGGATTGAAACAATTCCAGTGGGAGCTATACTTCTTACTTGAAAATAAAGTATACCAGTGATACAGAAAAGTGACTACTACTACTACTACCAGTAGGAAATATAATAATACTTAAAATTATCCACACCTATTTTCTGTAATATTAGCTTAAAACAAATAGGTTAGAACTCGAAAGTGACGAAAGATGTCAAACGTTAGAAGGTAGGGTGGCACTTAACATCATAACGAATAAGTCCATAGCTTTGTTATATTAGTGGTTGAACAGTTGACTGATGTTAGTCTTATAATCCCATAACCAAGTGAAAAATGGTTACAGTATCAGTACGAAACATTCACAAAAGATTATTACCTAATTAATTTCTGTTAATGAACAAAATTTATAAAAAAATTAATTCACACTATCTTTATTCGAACTGTTTACTGATATTGGATCATCAATATTATTTCGACTATTTGCGATCAATTTGTTTGATTCCGATGTTGTTGATGAATTCACTGAGAATAACCGCTGAGTAGGTATATAGGTGTAGTTTGCTGTAGAGTTTGGATGAGAGACTTTACCGTGTAATCTCCATGTACCATATTCATCGGAAACATGTCTTTCAAATACAACATAATCGAGCACATCGACAGCAGTATCCGGATTGCCATATAGTAGGCGCCCAAAACGATTATAAATGGATAAAATCTGTATTATTTCAAAGGAATATCAGAAGAGGTGATAACACTTGACAAAAATATACAAAGAATAAAATTCTAACACTAGTTAGCTATACAAAAAAAGTGATATACAAAAATCACTCATAATAACATTTCTAACTGGATACGAGCAGTCAATGGGCAGTATACAACTAAGCATTCTGTAAAGTCAGAAGTTTTCAGTGAAAGTCAGACAAATGTATTTTTTCATACCTTACACTTAAATGAACACATAGATCATTGTGTACAATCTAAAGAACAACTATTGACATATTTCAGTCCAAACTAGTTTAATATTTATGAATATCCAAACTATGTATGTCTAAGGGGAAACATGGGATTACAATCAATTGACTGATAAACTACTTTACGCAAATATAACAGTTGCAGATAGAATCACATTATTTCCGTGTTACCTGAAGCTCAACTTTAAGCTGATATTGTTAATTATTTATGTCACTAAACATAGACTTCGTGTTCGTAAAGCAATAACAAAATCTAATCACAGCTAAACATATATAGCACATTTACAGAACACTCATTTCCAGGAGTTCCATAGTAGCAAACTGTACACACATGTAAAATAGAGTTAGCTAAACGAAAGAAAAAAGTATATATATACTAACAAGGACACAGCAATTCACTGACTTTTATGTAGACTTACGATACTAAACTTAGACTCAAACATTAAAATAAATAGTGTGAATGGTAGTTCGAAGAGCCATATTCACAATTAAAAATTTATACATCCAACTAGTCAATAATATTTATAAATGCATAAATCAAGGAACAATGCTATAATGATAAGTCATACATTAGTAATTAGTTGACCTATTACCTGTTGTGTATAGAAACGAACTGTAACTTGAGCATAAAAATTGCCTTTAGATATAAGCTCCTTGCAGCGTATTTGTACAACTCTAGGTGGCTCAATATTACCCACAAACTTCCATTGCAGAGTTCGAAGTTTTAGGTCAGCAGTCATATCCTAATAAAATAGGGATAACATAAAGTAGTGAAGATCAGAATGTCTACAAAACTTTGATGTTATTATGATAGGAATTATTATGGAAATAAAACATTACTAAGTGGTAAACTGAAGAGGTGTGTTTACAAATAATTTAATAAGATAAGGATTATTGGTACTTAGTTACCAATATTCCCAGAGTATGATTTTTAAGTAAATGAGGTGCTAAACAGGCAGACAACCAGTTGATAAAATCGAATGAACTAAGTTGATTAAATAACCATTAAAACAGTCCGCCAAATACTTATCAAGAATTAGTGAGAGTGATCAAACGAGTCAACCACCAGCAATCCAATAACAATCATTTCAAAAAACGGGGGAAACGAAAGTTTAAAAATCCTGTGGGTTATTTAAAAGTCTGACATTTTTCAAAGATTTACCAACCATTCATAGCAAACTTTGATTCCTTTAGCTACCCTTCCCCAACTACGGCAAAAAAGACATTAGTGTTCATATGAAAATATGACAACAACCCAGAAACTGATGTTGGATCGAACTGTAAGAAGTAGTACAATGTTCTCTATAAGAGCAGATGGGCAAGTGAATTCTTACAACATGACTTATAATCGATCTTAGTAATGCAGATTGCTTCTAACTTTATTTTGCTCTCGCTCCCAAAATTGTCTATTTTCAGTTTATTTATTTGTCCAGTTTATGCCTAATTCCGGTTAATTATTTTTTAGTATCGCTGCTGATTCATTCTAGCTGTGATATCTGAAAGTATCATTTTGTGCCCGATCCTAAATAATCGAAAGAGGGAAATCTAGTAGAATTAAAGAAGATACATTTCTCAGATTGTGTAATACTAAATTCTTTAAATCAAATAATATTAGTTTAATCGAATCCTATCAACAATACTTGAAGACAGTCTCATGACTAATTTACATAAAATTTCACATCGCAGATAAAAACGATAAATAATAACATTTTCGAAGTTAGGTAAATGACAATTACAAAACTGATTCTCATGGTCCATTGTCATGAAAAACAGTGAATAAGATACACAGCAAGACAATGACACGTGATTTTGATTTTTTTTTCTAAACTAACGATAAGCAATCATGAAAGAATGAATAACGAGTTGAAACACAGAAACAGTTAAGCACAACTTACTACTAGTGCTTTTTCCGTAACTAGTTCAAATAATCGGGATTCATTTTGACGATAACTGAAAGTTAATTCAAACAATTAAACATGACATATTATAAGTAATACATGAAATAACTTCATGACTGTAAGTCAATTTTTCTATATAGAAAACAAAACAAACTATCCGGAATATACATGCTCAATAGTTTATATTTAAAGGCCCACACTGGATGAAGTTTTGCATCTATATTTGTTAAAACTGAATATACCGAAATAAATATAAGATAGCTAATCGTAACTGTAATGCCTAATGTCTGGAGTATTTTTAGCCATTTAAACTATGCTCTGAGAGTTGAAGGATCTTTACTTAGAAAAATGATAACGCCTCGTCATAAAAGCCGAGGTTCCTTGAAAGTCACAAGACCGCTACTTCTTTTGATAACCAAAGCACATGAAATTTTCGCACAATAGGAGAGTCCGAGAAGACCACGTATTACGTATGCCAGAACACCGACTACCATGAGGAGCAATAATGACTAGTGTTTGAGACATGGAGGAGGCAGCTAAAACAAAACGTGGCATCAACTCATAAAGCCACGGACTTCTAGTCTCAGCTATGTTGGCAGATGCGGACTACTTGGTTAGGGTCTGTGCGAGTATTGTAACAACAGTTGGAGACTCTAGGTTATATGGCTCAGAATCGATCACTCTCTCTGCCTTCCCTTAAAAAGTGAAATTGCTCTATAACTTTCTTTCTACGAACTAATTCTTTCTCCTGTATCATATCATTACGGGCAATCTTTTTTTATATATTACTACCATTGATGTAACTACTTTTATGAATTTGGTGTCGATCTTGTTGTGCTATTGAGGTGTGATAATTTGGACCTATGCATATATTAGCTTGATCCTACGTCGTAGCTTACTGACTGAATCGAACAGTTGAGGAAATGAGGAGATACAACCTGACAAGATAAAGTCAGCAGTCATCGACTGTAGCAGAGAATAAACCTGCTTCCATCAGAAGAGAAAATTACAGAAAGACGCTGGAGATATATAAGTCACACGGAAATCAACAAACTTGACCACAAACTAACTCCTAACTTGGAATCTCCTATGCAAGAATAAAAGAGTCAGGTCAAATAACATGAACCAGGAACTAAAGGCAAATATCAAGGATGAAAAACACTTGGGAAAAGCTGGAAAGGAGAGCCCAGGATAGTTGGTTGAAGATCCCCGGTTATTGGCCTGTTCCTCACGAGGACTAACGGAGGTAACATAGATATATATTCATGCCATAGTAAAACTTGCCATAAACTAAACGCTATATACCAATTATATGACACTTCGGAACAGTGGCTAAGGCTTTCGACTTTTGTTCATCGAATCGCAAGTTTGAAACCCCCTACACCTATTTCAATTCGGGAGACCGAGTAGTATAACTAGCCCCCATAGTTAGAGTATTGGGCGAAGCCAAGCATTCACACATGTATCTATTATGAGTAAATAATATCATAGAAATTTTAGTGGACATTACATATTGGTTCGCTAATGTTATTGTGATGAAGCTTCTCCTACAAACATCACCATATCAGATACTGACAGATAGTAGACTATAGCAGTGAGACATGTTTTTCATCTACTCTTAAAACGCAATCAAAATAGGAAATAAATTACTCACAGGTCGACACAAAGTAGTAAGTGGGTGTTACTTGGACAGTTCAGGGATATCTATACTTATTTTGGAGAGTAGCCATGAGAATGACACTTATGGTAACAGTACGACTGTAGTGAAAACTTCGAGAAAAGTTACATCATACTGTAGAAGTTTTAACAATTAATTATTTCAATCCATGTAAGTAACCAAGCAAACCATTGTGCATTTGAGTTTGATCTAGCCGTTCAATTTGAGAGTTAGGGATACTACCCAGATACTTAAATTGAAGTCGTAGGCTATGACTTAGTGGTAAAAACAGTTGGTTTAAGACAATTGGGTCTCAAACAAATATTCTGCACTGGATATTTAGCTTTTTTGTCTTCGGAGTATTGACACTTATAATCCCAAAATATGACTTGAAGCTGAGTATATGAAACTTTGTTTGATTATATAATATAAAGATAACTGTATTTTTAGCATTATAAATCGACATAAGATTAAAATGCCCCCGAATGCCCTGGTACGGCCGAGAGTGGGGAGAGTCCGCTCTCCCTCTCGAAATACTCTCACACGGCCGCGCGTATACAGCCTCTGCTAGGGAAGTCCTACTCATTGCCTTCTCGTGGCGGGGGTGTTTTTTACGAAAATGAGAGGACGAAAAGCGAATGTCCGGCGCTTTAACCGGATTCCAAACCAAATCAATGGTGCACACGGGCTCCAGTATCCTGCGGGAACAAATGGCGTATGAACCAATCGTTGGTCACCGGCTACCATGGGATTGCATCTCCTTACGATGCTCCACTGCCTTGTGGATCAGACCTTTAGGTCAAAGGCTCGGAGTGTGGCCCCCTAAGATAACCACCTGCTTCGGTTTGGGCACCCGGGTAGTATCACAGCCCACACACAAATGATGGACTCTTTACGTCTATGGAAATTATTTTTCTCGCTTCGAAAAACAATCAATTGATTCAAATTATTATCATTACAATTATTGTCATTATTAATACTATTGTTATTATTAATATTACTGTCATTATTGTTATTATTATTATTATTATTATTATTATTATTATTATTATTATTATTATTTTCTACATTATTCACCCTCTTTTATACTTATACAGCGGCTCGTCTTTGGTGGAAATTCGACTGTATCTAAACGTTCTCGAGTTACTGTCCGGTTGAAAATTGCATGTTTCCACTGAATATGAGTACTGAAGCAGTTTTTTCTGAAACCACGTGCGCCATTCAAACTGGCTGCCGTCAACGTTCGCACACTTATGCAGGTTGGACAACAGATAGGGCTGGCTATGTCTTTAGAAAGTCTTCATATCGATGTCTGCTGTCTATCCGAGACTCGTATTCAAGACTCTAGTGAAGTATTACAAATTCGCTCTACATCTGTCACTTCAAAAAGCTTGTTTCACGTGCGCTTATCCGAGGACCCTGTGGCATCTTCGTCTGGTATTGCTGGCGTTGGTGTCGCACTAAGCGCTAGAGCTGAGGCAGTACTAGTTGATTGGATCCCCATTAACAGTCGGTTATGTGCTGTTAGATTAGAAAGTTCCATCAAAGTGAGAAGAAATCGGCGTGAGAAACGATGTCTTTTCGTCATCTCCTCCAATGCCCCGACAGATTGCAGCCCGGATGCAATCAAGGATGAGCTCTACCACCAGTTATCTGTTCTTCTCCAGAAAGTGCGTTCGACAGATATTGTAGTACTAGCCGGAGAATTGAATGCTCAGGTCGGGCGTCTAGGCACAGAAGAGAGTCGTTTAGGTGGCCAATGGGGACTCGTTGGTCGCAGGTCAGATAACGGGGACCGTCTACTGCAACTGTGCACAGACCACAACCTGTTTCTGGCTAGCACTAACTTTCGGCACAGTCATCGCCGATGTACCACCTGGCGTCCTCCCTCTGCATCCCAAGCCTGGACTCAGATTGATCACATCGCGATCAGCTACCGCTGACGTGGTTGTGTAAAAGACTGCCGCTCCTTTTGGAGTACCTATCTGGACTCTGACCATGCCTTGGTCTGCGCCAATCTTGCCTTACTTTTCAGTGGCCAACGAAGTGACCACCATCAAAAGATTGATGTTAGCAAGTTGGTTGCAACTTCTGTTGCAAATAAGTATCGAACCGAGCTAGCCTCTAGGCTAGCTACCACTCCACCGAAAAGTATAGATGAGCATTGGTTGCAATTGCATGACGCCATGAAAATGACGGGAACAGTCAGTTGTGGGTTTGCGAAACGTCCCGCTTTTAAGCACTGGGTTTCTTCTGGTTCCTTACAACTCATTGAAGCCCGTCGGTCTACTCCGGGTGACCGTGAGTTTGACCATAAACGAAGGATTTTACGTAAGGAAATCGGGCAAAGCTTGCGTAAGGACCGAGAAGCCTGGTGGTCGAAGCGTGCTAATGAGCTGGAAGCAGCAGCTGCATCTGGTAATTACCGGAAGCTCTTCCAGCTCATCCGAGCCACTGGCAGCAAGAAGTCTGGTGTGAGTTCAACAATCTGCGAGGATGATGGGATGTCAATCACTAACATTCATCGACGTCTTGGACGGTGGGCAGAATTTTTCGAAGGGCAGTCCCACTGGCCTGCTGCTCCGGCAACATCGGTCAGACTGTCCTGCCCTCCATGGCCGGAGACGACTGATCCACCAAACGAGGAGGAAGTCCGCAAGGAACTCCAACTCTTGAAGCGTTACAAATCACCTGGCCCAAATGACTTACCTCCGGCTCTTTTTAAAGATGGTGGTGACTTTTTGACTAAGGAATTGACGACGTTGTTCACAAAGGTTTGGGAACTAGAGAGTGTGCCAACGTCATGGAATGAGTCGATAGTTGTCCCTATCTTTAAAAAGGGTTCACGTCGTTCCTGTAACAACTATCGGGGGATAAGTCTACTTCCGATTGCGTCCAAGCTATTGGCTTCCGTCATACTTCGTAGGTTGTTCAAAACCCGAGAAAGGTTGGCTCGCGAGGAGCAGACTGGTTTTCGTTATGGTCGAGGATGTATTGATCATATCTTCACCCTCCGCCAAATGTTAGAACACCGCCATACTTTTCAAAGGCCAACAATCGTAGTGTTTCTTGACATCAGGGCTGCCTTCGATTCGTTGGACAGGACTGTTCTCTGGGATTGTCTATTGAAGAAGGGTGTGCTTGAGAAGTTTATTAACATCCTAAAAGCCCTATATAAAAACACCTCAGGCAGAGTGAGGGCATACAACCACCTTTCTCCATTGTTCCATTCGAGTAGTGGGGTTAGGCAGGATTGCCCAATCTCACCATTCCTCTTCAACTTTGCCATCGATGACATTCTGGAAACAGCTCTGATGAATGTAAGTAATGGTGGTGTGGATCTGTTGCCTGGAGAAAGACTTCTCGACCTTGAGTATGCGGACGATATTGTCTTACTGTGCGATAATGCCCAAGGCATGCAATCCGCACTTAATCAGTTGGCAATCAGTGTCCGTAGGTATGGTATGTGCTTTGCACCTTCGAAGTGCAAAGTACTCCTACAAGACTGGCAGGATTCCAATCCTGTACTCACTCTGGATGGTGAGCAGATAGACGTAGTCGAGAAGTTCGTGTATCTGGGTAGCTGCATAAGTGCTGGTGGGGGTGTGAGTGATGAGATCAATGCACGTATAGTGAAAGCCAGAGCGGCTTATGCCAATCTGGGCCACCTTTGGCGCCTTCGTGGTGTTAGTCTGGCTGTAAAAGGCAGAATCTACAACGCGTCGGTGAGAGCAGTTTTGCTCTATGCTTGTGAAACCTGGCCTCTCCGAGTTGAGGACGTTAGACGACTCTCTGTGTTCGATCATCGCTGTCTCCGAAGGACTGCTGACATCCAGTGGCAACACCATGTCAGTAATGCAGAGGTTCGGCATCGTGTGTTCGGGCACAGAGATGATAATTCAATTGGTGTCACCATCTTGAAACACCGACTTCGGTGGCTTGGACATGTTCTCCGGATGTCGTCCCAGAGAATTCCACGTCGTGCATTATTTGCCGACTCTGGGACTGGTTGGAAGAAGCGGAGAGGTGGTCAGTGCATGACATGGTGTCGTGGCATGAAAGAAAGCTGCAAAGGACTGGCGTGTGTTGGTTCTTTACGACTCCCTGGTTGGGGTCTGAGAGATGGTGCTACACAGTGGCTAGAGACGTTATCAGATATGGCTCAGAATAGAAGCCAGTGGCGATCCTGCTGTAACCTTCTTTTACTTTCTTCATAAAAAGTGGTTGTCTCCCTTACCTGAGAGATTTCTTCTGATTGTACCTTTCCGTTCCCTCATTTCTACCATACTACCTTATACCAATCTCTTCGTTATTGTTCTCTTTTTTTGCGCTCCTTAGTTTTTTTTTCTATTTTTCTTCGAATTCTCATTGTTTTGTGTGGCGCATATATATTGGCGCTCTCTTGTACCAATATTCATGTGTTCAAATAAATATATCATTACTCCCGGTTATCCTTAATTGATAAACAACAAACAATAGGGTCCTGAATTATTTTTGGAATACTGTAATTAACACACGCACCCAACATACGAAATATATGACATATATTTTCATATGATACACATAATGGTTTATAAGTTGATATAAACTTACTTTTGTAACAAATCATGGGCTTCAACATAAATATTTTCAGCTTCAATAGCAAACTGTTTGGAATTAAATGATGGTTCATGTGATTTTAGTAGCGACGAATCCTTATAGTTTTTTCCCTTATTAAGAAGATTATCTTTTAAAATAGTCAGTCTCTAAAAGCAAAAACAGCGCACATTGCAAACATTGTCATTGAAATGCAATAACTACCTTTGTTGACAGCAATGAACTTTGACCATCACCATCAGGAGGGATGTACGGATCAACTATAGTTCCTAAGAAGACACCAGACAAACAGACAGTAGTTTACATGCATTATTCTGCTTTTAATGGGAGAAAGTCTATTTAGTATGTTAATAGTTACTTCAGACAAGATAGTGAGTATACACTTTTCAAATGGTTAGCAGTGGATAATATGAATTTTTTCATATAAATAAAAACACAAAGGTTATCTTTGCATAAAAGTACCTAATTGAAATCGGTTTAGCATTCATTGAAGTCAGAAAGATAAAACAGCCAAAAATACCAATCACTGAAATGTGAATCTTTGAACCTATCACTATCCCATAGTATTCTAACGATGCCCAAATACACTAAAACATTCATAACTTAAGGATAAGAATATAGAGAGTGGTAGTTAGTATATTGAAAGTAGTTTGGATGCTCCAGGTGTACCGATCCCTCACATGGTCGACGGTACATTAGGTATTAGGAAGAAATACTTACATTGCCCAGCGAATAAGTTATACTTGTTGGTTGTAACAGTTTAATCTTGTGATATGAGTAGTATTTATGCAGTAAATTACTGACTGATAAGTCTTAACTAGTGCTCAGTCTAATTTATGCAAAAACCGATTATTAATCATTAATAAAACATACAAAGATCAGTGCACCTGAATATAGTGTTCAACATATTTTTGGCACCAAACCAAATTCTCATCTAGCCTTGTCGTCCTCTTCCTTAAGTCAAGCCCTATCATTACAACTGTGCTTTCATACAGTCCACGAAAATTCCACTATACACTCAAATATATGAATCAATATTAGTCAAGCGAATTTAAAAGAAGTTAACACACATAGGATATTTATTCCCAATTTTAACAAAGGGAAACAATCCTAGGTTCACGACAAAAGTGACTGTTTACCTGTATGTCCAATATTTATTGAGCGATCATAAAAAAGTAGGGGAGGTAACATTCCATTTCTACGTAACCTTCTACGTAAATCTGATGTGCTTTCATTCTCATTAGCATAATCATCTCTGAGATCAACTGGTGAATCATACGGTTGCATCTGACGCATAAGCCTGAATTTAGGCACCCATGGTTTATGTCTAATAAATCTGACATTACTGTGAAACTCAAAAATATATTTGTGACTGAACACTGTGACACATCTCCACCTTTGAAAATGAACTAGTTAAGAAATATACCATTACCACATAATCCAATGTTTGGAAGTGAGAACACACCACAACTACAGATGTAATAAAACCATATTATTACATATGAACAGCAAAAATGTTCAAAAAGGGTATATATATAAACACTCAGTTTTGAAAATGAAGTATGAATTACAACAAAAGGGAGTTTAAATATGTAATGCTAATGGATTTTACTTTGAAGGTATGTTACTCGGGGGGCTAATGTCAAAATTGGAATCCCAGGTATGACGAACAGTGCGAATATTTCTGAATAACGCCTAGAATGCTTGAGATCATAGCAAAAATCTGTGTTTCCAACATTGGGCGAAAGTGAGTGTTAAGTTAATCAAATCCTTAATTGTCCATCGATTGGTTGTATATTACAGGAACACTATGTATGAATCTCGACTGTAAACACCCAATCTTGAAACCAAACTTAACCTCTTGAGATTATATTCCATCCATTTACCCGGATACGACCGATGGTGGGGACATTCAGCTCTCCCTCTCGAAATGCTCTCACATGGCTAGAAGTATACAGCCACTGCTAGGGAAGTCCTACTCACTGCTTTTTTGTGGCGAGGGGAGGGTTGTTTACGAAATAGAAAGGACGATAAGAGAATGTCCGGCGCTTTAACCGGGTTGGTGGACATAGGGAATCCACCTAGGGGATTTGGAAAACCCTGATTCCAAACCAATGGTGCACATGGGCTCCAGTATCCTGAAGGAACAAATGGCGTTTGAACCAATTATTGGTCATAGGCTTCCATGGGACTGCAACTCCTGGCGATGCTCCACTGCCTTGTGGATCAGACCTTTGGGTCGAAGGCTCTGAGTGTGGCCCTCTAAGAAAACCACCTACTTCAGTCCGGGCAGTATCACAACCCACACACACAAATCAAGTGACTTGTGTTGCGCATGTGTATTCGGTGCCCCTTCGTACCAATATTTGTGTTCAAATAAATAAAATAGCCCTCATTAAATCTTGAAGTGGAATCCGTCTATACACATAGTTACAGGGAGTTTTCGCATAATAGTTGATATCACTTGATGACGAAAACTTCAATCCTGACCCCAAATCTTTAACCCTAATCAAAAGCATTAGAGGAGTTATAAAATCAAATTCAGTCATTATGAGGATTCAAGGAAACGAATATTCAACATAGGCGGCCTTACTTATTGTTGTTTTGGAATTCTACGGGTAGAGTAACTTGTAGAAGACTTCAGTGAATCCATAAGCTGTCCGAAACTTATGTACACTTTGTAATATCATTGTTCGCTTTACAGCCTGATTAAAAAGCCTCTCTCTGATTGACTATGAACTGAATCAAATCTGTTGTTTCAAGCTTGTTTAACACAAACCCTACATATGCCAAACTTTATGTGAAGACAGAGAATGAGGACCCGATTCAAGTTTATCTAGGAATACGATTACCATAATCATGAATCAAGTGATGAAAAACCACGAATTGGTCACCTATTACCGTGGGACTGAACTCTCCATAGCGTTTTTCTGAGGAGCGCAAGAGTTAAGTTGGAGAATGAGCAAAACTAGTTCATGTGCATTGGATTTATGTGGATTTTATAGCAACCTAGAACTGCTATCGTCATTTACTTCCGAGGATTATAATTCTCCGCTGTACTTGAACATTTCTCATATTTATTAGGACTTCTAATTTAAATCAATTTTCATCTTCAATTCAGAGTAAATGGAAGTTTAGGTAAGTCTACATAATTGAAAATTATTGAACACTTTTTAGAATCGACCTAGTGTACATGACAACTTCTGTAGTAACATGACTAGCATCTGCCCATATTCTCTCATACAAATGATAATCCCTTTGATCTGAAATAATAGGCCTTTCTACAAGATTTAATCGTACGCCAAAACCTGCATTGTTTATATCCATTAATTTGCTAACATAACAGATCAGCTGACATTCTCGACACTCATTATGGTAACTTACTTATGACATTGGTTATCAACCAGAAAATATCAGCTAAATACTGGAATTCAGAAATAATTGCCGATAAAAATCAGTTCTGTTAACTAATATAACAAATTATTGCATGAAAAGACAACTATACCTACCGGTAACGCTAAGATTTGAAAACGCAACTAGTCTGTCTGATATACAATTTCTTTCATCTTCGTAAAAAATGTCATGTTTTATTTCATGAAATTGTATATCCCCGTACTAACGATTATCCGGGCATCTTTCGGAAAAGCTTGACATTTCTTTGGGAACATTAATCGGACATCAAGTCCCAATATTTATTGTGTTCCAGAACCAGATTTGCCAAGTTAGCACAGGACTACAGCCAGCGCTAATGCTTTTCTAGTAAACTTCTGAGAGTGTCCATTCTTCTCTTGAATGGTTTTTTGAAGAAGTGGGCACCACTTCTTCGAGTATCAGGTTCCCAGAATTGATGACTCAGTGTGGAAACCTGTATGCCACGGGTATACTATTCGTTCTTGGCTTTTCTACTCGCCTGATATGTCCACTGAGTTGTCTCAACCCGGTAGAAAAATAAGGGAGGATATATCAGGTTTAAAATCATTTCTTATTATATACGTCAAAATCAGATCACATATTAATCGGCAATGGAATAGAGTAAACAAGACTCGCTTTGTATGATAAACCCCGAAGTTCATGAATTACACGGCTAGATTTCATCCGTACTTTTTTTTAGAATATCTGAATCCCCTTTAAGTTCAGGGCTTGCAGCTTGAATGCACTTTTCAAGTTTCGATATCTTGAAGGTTGTGCATACTGTGGTGAACATATTAGTAACTAAATTGATAAATGTCTGTTTTAAAGGGTTCCAAACCATTTGAATACTATGTTGCTATATGCTGACGATGTCAAGATATGGAGAACGATGCGATGTAAGAGTGATAGCTTAGATCTTCAAAATGACCTGAAGAAGTTATCTGAATGGTCTCAAACATGGCAGTTGCCGATAAATACTTCCAAGTGTGTTGTGATGCATATCGGTCATCAAGGCACAGATACATACACGATGAATAACACTGAGCTACCTGTCGTCCAGACATATAATGACTTAGGAGTTATCGTTAGTCAAGACTTAAAGACTACTGCACACTGCCGTGCAATAGCCGCCAAAAGTTTTAGAACGTTATGGTCAATACGTAGGGCTTTTAGTCATGTCGACGCTAAGACGTTTTTGACTTTGTATACAGTGTTCGTTCGTCTTAAACTTGAGTACTGCATACAAGCGGCTAGCCCCTGCTTTAAAAAAGACAGTGAGCTTCTGGAAAAGGTTCAGAGAACGGCGACTAAGCTGTTTCCCGGAATAGCGAAGATTCCGTATGAATCTCGACTGGCCAAGCTGAACCTTTTCCCGTTGTCATATCGCAGAACTAGAGGCGACTTGATTGCAGTCTACAAATTGCTTAGTGATAAATTTGCACCTAACATGCCCTCATTTTTCTTGTCTTCCAAAACAGAGAATTTACGAGGACACTCCAAAAAAGTTCATAAGCCGAGAACAAATTACTTGTCAGCTGACTATCGACTTTCCCATCGAATCATCAACGAGTGGAATTCACTACCTCAGCACGTGGTTGAGGCTCCATCCGCCGACTCTTTCAAAAGAAAGTTGGATCAACTGAGAGACCAACACTGCCAGGACTAACACAGGCCATCAAGCCTCCGGTCCTTCCCAAACTGAAACAGATGTCGGAGCAGTGTAATGGGGTCTTAAGATCGTGGCTCACTGTCACACTTAGATCCTTGTTAGATCGAACTACGTGAACACTTACTTCTCCTATACTATACCTACCTGACCGTGTATCCACGAAGCGTATGTAGACAAACTGCCGCGATTCAAATGGTTCAAATGGTTCAAATGGTTGTGGACGGAATAGAAGAAGCTTTCGCTTAACAGGCTTCCGTGTCTAGTAGCAGGGGATCACCAAATCCTCCAGGCAGGAACCTAGGTATGTTAACAATAAAAGAGGAAAAGAAATTGGTAAATCATAGTGCGATGCTGTCCTTGGTCCTTAAGAATAGGTCAAGTTGCCTCTTGAAGGACTCCTGAGAAGTCGCTTGGACTAGCTCGGCCGGCAGCGAGTTCCAGCTTTTGACAACTCTTAAGGAGTAGAAGTTGTGTCTACATTCCGTCTTGCTATGTTGTGTTTCCAGTTTCTGGGTGTTACCCCTTAGGTTATTATTCGAACTAAGCTTAAGTAGGTGTTTAAGAGGATGTCCAGAAGTGTTAAGAATACTATAAGCCATTAATAAATCACCTCTAAGACGCCTATATTCTAGTGGGTAAAGTTCTAGTGAACGGAGGCGTTCTTCGTAAGGCTTAGATTTGAGTCCTCGAACTGATTTCGTGGCTCGCCGTTGGATACGCTCCAAAGTGACCTTGTCCTTTTGGAGTGAGGGGGGAGTACTATGTTTCCGTACTCTAAATGGGGACGGATGAAACTATTGAAGATTGTGTGGAAAGTTCTTCCGCCAAACTGGTCAAAAATGCGCCTCAACGTTACCAGTGCAAGGTTTGCTCGGAAGGCATTTTTGTCACAGTTAGCGTAAGACTTTAAGTCATGGGGCACCAGGACTCCTAAATCGTTTTCGACTTGGGATACTACTAGAGAGGAGTTTCCTAAGTTGTAACTGTAGTTTGCGACATGTCGCAGATGGACTACTTTACACTTTGAAGTGTTAAAGGTAAGTCCGTTATCGTCTGCCCAACTTTGAAGTCGAGTCAGATCCTCTTGAAGTGCCTGTATATCGTCTTGGTTGCGTATCTCTCTCCAAAGTTTCACGTCGTCGGCAAAAAGTAATAAGTCTGACGTTACCTGTTGAGGAAGATCATTTATGTAGATCAAGAAGAGAAGAGGCCCTAGTACTGAGCCCTGGGGGACCCCACTAGGACATTCCATAGCCTGAGATAAAGTGAAATTAACCCTAACCTTAAAGTGTCGATTTTTTAGGTATGAAGTAAGCCAGTCGATTAGAGGTGGTTTGATACCTAGTCGTTTGAGCTTGTTGATAAGACACAAGTGGTTAACCTTATCAAAAGCTTTTGAGAAATCAAGGTAAATGACATCAACCTTTCCCTTGCGATCGAGGATGCTTGCCCATCTGTCCACCGCAGTCAGCAGGTTGGTTATACAAGAGTAACCCTTCCTGAAACCATGCTGTTGGGGTGAGAAGAAATTTAAGGACAGTAGATAGTCATTTAAACCGTCGCATATCAAGGACTCCATGAGTTTTGAAGGTAACGACAGAAGAGCTACCGGCCGATAACTTGAAGGTTCATTGCGTCGACCACCTTTGAAAATTGGTGTGATGTGAGCCAACTTCCAATTTTCCGGTAGTTTGCCTCGGCTAAGCGAGTGTGAAAACATCACGCTAAGCGGCGTTGCCAGGATTGAGGCCGCCTCCCTCAGTATGGCAGGATGAACCATATCCGGGCCAGGAGAAGTGTCAAGTCTTAAGTGCTGCAGTTTCCGGAACACCAAGTCAGCGCTTAGGTCCACTTCAGAAAGTCCTGTGGAATTGCAGATGAAACTGTCGTCAATAAAGTTGATGTCAGCCGGTTGAAATGTTTGAGAGTAATGGGCCGCCAGAAGGTTAGCGGCGTCGCCATCGTTGTTGGTCGGGCCGTTAGGACATAGCAGTTGAGAAACTCCTGTTTTGGCTTGACGAAGAGAGGCTGCATAACGGAATAGGCTTCTATGGTTAGAGGCGAATTTGTCCATAAGCTTTGTTTTTGTACTGAAGCCTGTCTTCTCTTATAGCCTTCGTGCATGTGTTCCTGATATGTTTGTATTGCCTATACGCTCCATCGTTATTAGTTCGTTTGTATTCCGCCCAACAGTGCCGTTTGCGGCTTAGGAGGCGAAGGGTACGGTTCTTGATTACTGTAGGTGGCTTGAAGCTTTTGGGAACCGTTTGAGGAACTGAATGGTCTGTAGCACATAAGAGCGTGTGCAGTAAGAAGTCCCAATGACCATCCACATCGATTTGAGGGTGAACATCCCAAACCACCTGTTGTAGATGGCCATGTAGAGCTGGCACATTCAGCCATTTAAAATTCCATCGCAAATTATTGTTGGGATACCTTAGCTTAGTTTTGATGACAAAACTGAAGGCTATGACGGCATGATCGCTTTTTCCCAGAGGAGCCAGGATTGAGAGGTTGTCGACTAGCAATTCTTCGTTAGTGAATACACAGTCTAAGCGCGATGGTGTCTGACTGTTTCTCCAACGATGATATGCAACAACCACTTTTTGGACCAGCTAATTAAAACATCTAGATCAGGCTGAAGTGCACATTCATCTGCGTCCCCCGTTGTTTTGCACCACTTGTTTGCACCACTGGCGTATAGTAGTACTGGGGACTCAAATATACTTAGTAGTTGACTTATATGCAATATTAATGTAGAAATTCCGCCAATGGCTCTTCTACGGTTACTGACGGTTTCAAGTCCATACGACGTAGGATGGTTTGATACGGAAACGGCAGTCTCATGCCATAGAAAGCACCTTGCTAAAGAAACGCTGACCAGTTATACAGAATAAACCACTTAAACTCTGCCCTCCCAGTTGACTGAAGAACATTGATGCCTCATGATGAAAGCCGAAATTATTCAGAAGTCACGAGGAAGCTGTACTTTCCAGCAACCAGAGCAACGATTTTTATAAGTACATGGAACTTTCGGATAATGTAGGAGACCGAGAGGACAAATCAAACATCTGTTTAAATGAGGAAAATCCAGTTGACGTTGCTCGGATTAAATGAAATCCATTGGCATCAAGCTGAATAGGAAAGATTAGAATCGGATGAGATGTTGTCGTATTCCTGTCACGAAGAGAACAATGATCCACACAGTCAGGGAGTTGCTTCAATGCTGTCTAGGGCACACGTAAAGCATTTATTGGATGAGAATCTAATGGATCCACAATCACCAAAGCATCTATAAAAAACAGAAAGGGATCATAATGAATGTTATCCAGTGTTTTGCACCCATCAGTGATAGCAATCAAGACGATGAAGACCAGTTTAATGTGAGGCTGCAATCAATTGTAGAGAAGTGCTTAAGAAAATATCTCACTATCCTGAAGAGAG